AGCAAACGAGGTGAACAGCTTCCACATGGAGAAGAAGAAGGACGTGAGCTCCTTTGCCAAGTCTCCTGTCATTGGTGGTCTGTCTCAGGTGCCCTCCCTCTACGATATGCTGTCCTATAGCTACTGCTATGCCGGTATAATGACGGGTAAGTCTGTGGAAACTTGTTACACTCAGAATCTTCTGTTGGAAAGAGGACGTTGTGTCATGTTGAAGTGAACGTTTGTAAACATTATGTTTGTGTGTGAGCTCATGTTGTTCTTATTGCTTTTGCATGAATTTTAACAGTTGTCTCTTTTTGTCTCACCCCCTGCTTCTTGTCCAATATTGTGTGAGTCCATAACGTTATCAGTCTTATTTACAATTTCTTCTGTTTTTTTTAAATACCTCTACTTTTTTTTGTTTTCTTACTCCATCTCCTTTCCAACACCACCCTCACTTCTTTCAAAACACACTTTCCTCCACTGTTCCCTTTTGGTTCTTGCATTATCTATATCATCCATTTTTGTCTATCACTGTCTTCACAACACCGCCTTTATTCCTTAATCTCATCCCTCCATCTCCCTAAAGGCCCGTTCTTCCGCTTCCAAACGTACGTTGACTGGCTGCAGCAACCGAGCCCGCAGACCCTGCCCGGCTGGGGGCCGTGCCTGCAGCGCCTGAAGCTCGTTCCTCTCTACGGCGCTCTGTTCATCTCCGTCAACTCCGTCTTCCCACTCGCCTACGTTCGCACAGACGAGTTCCTGGATGAGAACTTTTTCTTTAGGTATTATTACAATGCAAATCTGCCCTGATAATGTCTTTTAATAAGAGAAACAATGTTAGTTTTATGAGTTTTAGGCTTATTATTTAAGCATCGATGCATACTTTCATGGATCTGCAAAAAACACAGTAATTTAAATGCTATTAAAAGTGTGCTTTATAATATTATATTTTATGTAATGTTAAAAGCTCATTTCATTCACTTTCTCAGACTGGAATAACCCAACAAATGCTCAATACTTATATAAGCTAAACATCTATATACTTAAATGTTGTAGGTAATATTTCAGAATATTTCCTAAATTGTCCTGATTGCACAGTGTCTCTACTTGTGTTGCTGCTGTTGGTCAGAGAACTGCAAATACAATGAGACAAAGTAAAGCATAGCTTACTATTCATGGTGAGCTAAAGAAATATATTGTTTGCTTTAAAGATAATAATGGAGGTCCTGGTAGTGCTTTAGTGTTGAATGTATTTCTTATATCGCGGCTGTTTTTTGGTACTGAGATGAACAATGTACTCTTCTCTCTCTAACACCAGGTATTTCTACATGATAGCAGTGTTCTTCGTGTTCAGGATGCGTTTCTATGCAGCGTGGTGCGGAGCTGAGGCTGGTTTTATCACTGCAGGTCTGGGCTGCTATCCAGAAAAAGCGCTGTCCAAACCTGGAGGAGGACCCACTGTCAACTACAGGTACTTCATCACTGGCCAACAAGTATATCAAAAGAGGATGCATCAATATGTGTGTATGTAGTAAATTGTAATTGCATTGCTGTTAACAATCTTGGTCTGTAAAGAGTTTATTGTTTTTCCCTCTTTGCCAGTCCTGACCCCAGCGCTGACGAGATGTATGACTTCAAAACCATCCAGAACATCGACTGCTACAACACGGACTTCTGTGTGAAGGTCCGCCACGGCATGCGTTACTGGAACATGACGGTGCAGTGGTGGCTGCATCACTACATCTACCCCAACGCCCCCTTCAGGGCCTACGCCCTCAGGTAAGGCCTTACGTGTGCAGCAGGTTCTGCTTATATCACAGGCATGAACCCCCAAACCCATTTTGTTTTGGCATTAAAATACATTTATTTGAATTGTGCAAGGATATAGCTTCTTAAATGAGAGGTAGTAGCAAGTGTCATCATATTTTAAAACATATTTTCTAGTTATTCCCTCATTTCTAACCAGCTTTAATCTTTCATTTATAATCTTTTTGCAGCGATGTCTGTGAAGCTCTCCTATTTTAGACAAACATATTTGATTTCATTTGACTTCTTAAGTCAAGTTAAGTAGGGCTGGGAGATATGGTCAAAATCTTCTGTCCTGATAAGAGTCCTTTCATATCTTAATAATGAAATATATTAAAATATAGCATGTTTTCTGGTAAATCAATATTTTATATAAAATAATCATGTGGTAAAGATTGAAAAATTGCATGCAAAAAATACACGATGTCCAGACGTATCATTTAAATCTAATTGTATTAGTTACAAGTTCTTCTATGTTTATTACCTGGAAGACAGATGACATGAAGTGACTATTTATTGTCTCACCACACACTGAAACTGCCCTTATTACCACAAACAAACCTAAATGTGCCCCGGCATTTTTTTGTTTATCTGAAATCCCTGAAGTGACGGTAGACAGAAACCCTCAGTCTTTTTGACTCTAACCTCTCTCCTGTTTGTCTGTACCTCTCAGGGCCGGCTGGACCATGTTCATCAGTGCATACTGGCATGGACTTCATGTGGGCTACTATCTCTCCTTCCTCACCATCCCTCTGTGCATCGCAGCCGAGTCGGCCATGGAGTCGTCGGTCCGAGCTAGACTGGGTCCGTCTGGTCAGAACATCTTCGACTGGGTTCACTGGTTCTTGAAGATGAGGTCGTACGACTACATGTGCATGGGCTTCGTGCTGCTCAAGGCCTCTGACACCATCCACTACTGGGCGTCCATCTACTTCAGCATGCACATCATCGCCATCGCCTGTATCATCATCGGCAGGGTTCTGAAGGGAGGGAAAAAGGAAGGAAGGAGAGTTGAAAAAGAGGACAAAAGAAGAGGGAGAGAAGACTGAAAATGTAACAACGGGAGAGAAACAGGACTTGAATGGAGGTACAAAAAAAACAGGTTGGATATTTTTTGAGACATGACAAAGGGTCACTGTAGGTAGGATTTTCCAACATCCATTGCATTCAACACTCATCTTACAAGCAACAAATCTCAAACAAAAATGTCATAGAAAATGCAGTAGATTAGAAGAGAGTGTGACAGGTTAGAACTGGTCGAATACTTATTGGTACATATAAGTACTGTGAATACTGGGAGAGGAATGGTTTGAGCTCAATGAATGTCACTTTTGTAATGTGATTGGTAATCGGGGTGTGGGAGAGTGTATTCACTCCTCATCCGAGCGCCTGTCTGTACAGTAAATGTGCTTTTGTTTCACAATACCATTCAGAGTTTAAGTGAACTGTAATGCTGGTCAAAATAGGGGTTGTTGAAATGGCAAGAATGCTGTTTAAAAACATTCAGTAGGGGCGAAGCAAACAATAACCAAACAAGCCTCGTAAGGTCGTATACATATTTAAAAGAGGAGAGATTAAATGTAATTAAACGTAGTTTCCATAACCAACATAACATTCCAGCAGCACTCAACGTTATATTGGAGTACAGCATGGAAAGATTTTTGATGGGGAAAAAATGACATTATATGTCTTGTATAAGCTTTCTGATTTATTTATTTTGAGGAACAAAATAATGGCTTCCTAAATCATCACAATGACAGTTGTTTTATCTCAAAAGAATGATGTTGTTGTGATACAATGTTAAACTTACTGTGCATCCCCTGCTGACTACATTTGTATTGCTGCCTGGTTACTTAAAACTTCTATAAGTGTTTAAGATTTTTGTTTCCAGCATTATAATGTTCATCATTTTATTGCCTGATCCTTGAGAATTTAAAATGTATTTTTCCTCAGTGTTGTTCTGCCTGTAACTGTGAGCATATCAGGAGCATCTGCACGGACATCTCTAAAGTGTCTGCTAATGAGTGCTTGTAAGATAGCAACAGTCCATTCACTGCCAAAATGTCTGTACTGCCATCGTGGACCATTCAGGGTTGGGACCAAACATTTAATACAACACGTTTTCACATAATAACTATTAGCTGCCAACGTAGGTCATGAATAACAGCACAGCTAGGGTTGGGCGATACAGTTGAAATCATCTTCACAGCGATGACTGGAGAGGCATTTACAGAGCTCAGGCCTCGGGCCAGACCATTTGCAGAACGGGACAAAAAAAAACGGTGTCCACTTTGTGATACAGATCTGCTTCAACATTTAATGGGTTCTTTCTTGGCACATGCTACGACTAGTTTTCCCCTAATCTTACTGTCAAATCACCAAACCGAACCAAAAACAATGTCTCTATTGATATACGGCACCATATGAAAACTGTATGCAAACTATATGTAAAATAGCCCAAAAGCAGAATTGTTCAGAAAGATCAGAATCTATGGTTATATTTTCACAATTCACTGCTGAGAAATAAAGATATTGTATTATCGCCCGGCCCTAACCTCGATAAACTGTTGGAAAAGATATTGAGTTGTTTCACTCACTCCTGTCTCAAACTGTGTGACCACTACTGTGTCTTTGTTTTATATGTGCATGTCTGAAAGCAGAGTAGAAAAACATCTTATCTCCCAATGTCATTTATTCTCCACATGTTACCTGTAACTGATTTGATTTACAGATGTATTTTGAGTCTTGCCTTTACCCTTTATGTGCCAAAACCTTTTTGTTCTTCTTGCACACAGATGATTGTGATTTGTAGTCCTTCTATTGCTCGCTCACCTCCAGAATATTTATTTAAGCCTTTTGTCTCTTTTCTTTAGCCTCACAAACGGCACCTGCTGCTCTGTAACGCTGTAACTTGTGAAATACATATCAGCATTTCCTCCACAAGGCTAATGTCTTGCCTTTTCTTTCTTGAAAGTCTATGTTATGTGATTATCTGTGAAGTATTTGTCAGTTCATAAGTACCTTGTGTAGAAAAGGCTTTTATACATCACTTTTTTCTTCAGCTGTCAGAATGGAATCATTAACTCTCCGGCATGACGGAAAAACACCAACACGCCTCTTAGTTACATCACAACAGTGTCCCAGTGCTTTCTTTGAGCTATGAGGAATTAGCTCAAATATGATTTATAGTATTAACATATGCATAAATACAG